CAGGAGCCCGCGCCGCCCTGCCGCCAGTGCCTCGCTCCGCCGCGCCCGTGGCGCCTGCCGGCGCCGCTCCTCCCGGCCGGCCCCGTCTCGCCGGACCTCCACGCCGCCCGCGCCACCCCCAGCCGGCTTCATCTCCGGCCAGATCCGGCCGGGGAACGGCCGGATCCGCCCCTTCCCCGTCCCGTTTCGGCCTCCCCGGCCCCGTCCCCGACATCTCCGGCGAACCTCGAAATCCGCGCCACCGTTGACTTTTCCGCGTAGGTGAAATTTGCCTAAGTCCCCAGATTCCAGTAATTTTCTTGCCATGTTCGTCATGCTGTAACTCTGCATCCGTAGCTCCGTTTCATGCATGTAATATGTCAAATTATTCGCCTCGAAGAGTACATAATTTAGTTCCATTGAGTCATGTTCATTTGAGGTCATCTTGATGCCTGAATCATTGTTGTAAGAGTGCTTCATGATGTTTTCTGCTGTCTGTTATCAGAACGAGCTTTTTTGTCATTTTTGCCATGTTTGATGTGTGCATCCTATGAGGTTGATGTCTACATGTGTTTTGATCTATGCTATGTCTTCTTTACATATGTGCTTACCATGTATTTTTGTGATCAATGTGGTGACTAACACAAGCATGCAAACTAGGCATCGTAATATTGCTGATTTCAGTCCCTGTTCTGCTGTTATTTTGATGCCATGTAAACATGATGCTACAGAGAGATCCATGCATATTTTGAGATACTTCAGTAAGGGTGTTTTGAATATATGGTTATTCTCTATCCATCCCTGCCCTTGGTTACAATTATGGAGTAGTCTAGCATGTCATTTTCGTGCTTACTTTTGCTTCAAAATGTTTCCTGGCAGATTGTTTACATGTTATTCAATTTGGCCAAGGATGCTATAGTTGATCCTTGCATGCTATGAACTTGTTCTTGCCTTGGTTGGTTACACAAACATGTCTTCTTGATGATGCTATGCTTATCTTGTCATGCCGTGACTTGTGGTGAGTGAGTCAAGCTTGTTAAGTAGGGTACATGATGTTGCTGTTTTGCTAGGCTGAATCTGTTATTTCGTGATGCTATATAAACATGTTGCTACTAATCATTCTATGCATAATCTGGAGATGTCCACTAAATATATTTTGTTCTACATGTCATGCTATATCCATACATGCCCCTGGTAGCATTTATAGCTTGCTATAGCTTGTTCATATCTTGCTCCAAAGTTGCTTCATAATGTTGCTGTCAGCCGGTTAACATTAAGTTCAGTTGTTATCATGATTTTTGCTAGTGATCCATGCACCCTATGACCTTTCTTTTGCCATGCTTAGCTTCACAAATATGTCTTCTTACTGTTGGGTGCTTTGCCATGCCATGTTTTGCTCTGTAGTGAGTGGTACAAGCTCATCTACATGCCTTCATAATTCTGTTTCTGCCATGTTTGAATCTGTAATATAACTTGCCATGTTTACGTGGGTGCCATCATATTTTCTGATCCTTTTGGCTTATGGTCAGTAAGGGTCTTTTGATCTATGATATTAGTAGATTCATGCCATGCCTTTGTTTGCCATTATACGTTCCTGTAAAATGTTGTTTGATAGCTCTAAACATTGCAACCTGTTGTTATTTTCTGCAAAGCCTAAAATTGTTATTGTTTGCAATCTTACCATGTGTGTTTGAGCATGTTCTAGTGATTTCTAGAGATAGCTTAGTGTTCATATTTTGTAATGCTTTACCTGTACATCATGCCCATACCTTTTGTTTTCATGTTGGGGTGCTGTAGCATGTTGTTTTGATGCGTGCAATATGCCTAGTTGCTGTTTTGGACAGATTGTTGTTATAACTTGTTTCATGTGTGTGTGTTGAACCGTTGCTCCGTTTTGAGTGTGATCTATATGAAACTTGCTTAGAATTACATGTAGCTTCATATTATCATGTTGCATCCTTGTTTTGAGGTGTTTGCTTGATGTTTGTATGCATTTTGCTTCAATGCCATGTTTAACTTGTTTTGCTCATATCTTCTAGGCTGTAGCTCCGAACTAAATGAACTTTATACGCAACTTGACTAGAATCTCGTGT